ATCTTAATACAGATCCGATACAGAATACAGATTTATCACAGATTTTTAAATTACAATACAGATTTATACAGATTTTTATAAAATGCTTGAGAAAAAAAATTCCAAATTTATAAAAACAAAATAACTTGCTCGATTTTATCAGCGTACCCCCTTCTCTCCAAAATTAATTGTTGTGCTAAAAACCATATTTTTTGCAGTGGGATTTTGGGATAGTTTTATCAAGTATCCGAGAGTTTTTGCCCCTCCAGTGGTTGGAAAACTGTGTTTGCAGTATGGAGAATATCACAAAATTCGCGACTCTCTACTAAATATAACTTCACAGAAGGAAAAAGGCGAACATGAAAGAAAACGAAATCCAATTTGGCTCAAAAGACTAGAAGAAGCTTACTCGTCGCTATGCTCCTCTAACATAAAAAAAAAATTAAAAGTTTATGGAACATTTAATCGATTCCACTGTGCGTTTATATAGCTGCCTTTTAATAACTCATGATGACATCAAAATTTGATGTATTTTTATTTTGTTTTTTCGGCATGCATGCAATAACATGTTGATAACTAAATTTGTAATCTAAATAAAATATCTATATCAAAATAAGTTATCAAGCAGTTCTCACTAATATCAATATATGTTATAATTTTGATATTCTTCGCATATCTTTTAGCTCTCATTTTTGTTCTGTTAGCCATCAACTCCATGAAAATGAAATCAATTTGAGTTATCAGGAATAATGAAAACAACATAATTCTTGTTTTCATTTTGTTCTCACCCTCTGCTCGGGAACCTATCAAATTTCCATCGACAATTAATCATGTTATGGTGTTTTTGACAGCATTCACAACCAGAGGACCAACCGCTTTCGGATGCATATGGAGCTGGGGATTTACAGTATTAATTGAATATTTCCAATATAAGCATGTATGTTAAATACAAGAAAAGTGCCCGAGCACATTAAAATGGTACAAATACAAGTACTCGTAAACATTTTACTTGCATTGAAAATGTATTTCATAAGAAATTGCGGATTTTCTGATATTCTCCATACTGCAAAAATGATTTTACCAGCACTGGCGGGGCGACATCTCTCGACTTTTCGGTGTAACTACCACACAAATGATGTAATTAATTGTATTCATCTATATTAAAAATATCAAATAGTAATGAACTCGTGCACTTTTTTGCATTTAAAACTGCTTATCAGGAAGATAATGAATAGAAACTAAAATCTCCATACATTTTCAAACGGCTTCATATCACTCTTATAAATAAGTACGGACGATATCACAAATGGCGCAATTATATCCCGTATGGTTAGTACGATGCCCGAATAGGTGGTTAAGCACTTTTTATGGTTATTTTGTATGCACTGTATTTGTAAAACAACAAAACATGATTAATTAAGAAAAAAATCGTCAATACAGAAAATACAGATTTTTTAATAGAGTGGATACAGATTTTTTATAAAACCACCTGGCAGCTCTGCTGTATTTGATCCTTTTGACGTTTTGTATCATTCCATAATAAATCAGTTACTTTCACACACGCGTTTCTAGTTTTTCTCCCCGAAAGTATCCGCGGTTTCTTTTGTCTGCTCTCTGGTGTTCCCTTTGTTCGTTTCCCGGTGATTCCGTGCGACTCTGTTGGTGCGTCCAGGTCAACATTCACGAGGGCTTCTTCCTTCACCAGATGGATGTAAAGACGGCCTTTCTTCACGGCGAGCTAAAGGAATCAATTTTCATTTGTCCTCCAGACGGTACGAAGTCAGCACCAGGGATGGCGTGCAAGCTGCAAAAGTCGCTTTACGGACTTAAGCAGTCACCACGGTGTTGGAATCAGAAGTTCACTAGCCAGATCGAGAAACTGGGTTTCGTACAATCGAAGAGAGACTACTGCTTGTACGTCAGGTACGAGGAGAATGATGAGCTTTATATCATCCTGTACGTCGATGATCTTCTGATTGCGGGAAGAAATTTGGACACCATCAACAATTGCGACACTTTCTTGGTATACGGATCAATTACAACCGTAATGGTGGATCTTTGCGACTGTCACAGGAATCCAACGTTACAAAGGTACTGGATCGTTTTGGAATGGGTGAATGCAATCCGATCAAGACTCCAATGGAAAAAGGTCCACAAACTACCTCGAGGTGGGCCTAGCGCTGAAGAACCATATCGCGAATTGCTTGGCAGCTTGATGTACATTATGCTCTGTGTCAGGCCAGATGTATGTTACCCTGTCGGTTATCTCGGGCGATTCCAGCAGGATTCATCAACCGTACATTGGAATGCATTGAAGCGAGTGGTGCGGTATCTTAGCGGGACAAAAAACCTGAGTCTCGAATACCAGAGGACCAGTGTATCAGTACCGCTCATAGGCTATGCCGATGCCGATTGGGCGGCCGACCTTCATGACCGAAAATCTGTGATCGGCTTCATTTTCAAGGTCTATGGATGCACCGTATCCTGGAGTAGCAAGAAACAATCCACCGTATCATTGTCGTCAAATGAAGCTGAGTACGTTGCTCTTAGTGCAGCAGCAGCAGAGGCCGTATGGATCAGCGGCATTTTGAACGACCTTCAAGTAATTGCCAATCCAGTGACAATCTATGAAGACAACCGAGGATGCATCGGCATGGCCAAAAATCTAGAAAGCAAGAGGACCAAGCACATTGACGTGAAACATCATTTCATACGAGATCTGGTGGAGAGTGGTACACTGCACATCGAGCCGATTGGAACCCGTGATCAACTGGCGGATCTGTTCACAAAACCTTTGGAAGCCACCCGGTTCCAACAACTGACGTCTTACCTAGGAATGTCGGATTGAGAGGGAGTGTGAAACAAAGTAGCCGAGGATACGCAGGTCCGTTTGTTTGAAGATTGCCGTGGCAACGGATAAACAACCTAGGTAAATAACGAAAGGATACCATGGCAGCAAGTATATAACCAAGGACTCCAAGGTAACCAATAAACAACTAGGAGGGTATAAATAGTGAATTTTCACCTAGTTCAAATTAGTTCTAATCCAACCATCAAGCTGTGTTTACAGTAATAAACTTCGTTTAAATCAATCCTGTCTTTCTCTGCTACGAGTAATACCTACAAGACATTTTTTATACAAAAAATGTATAAATTTGGAGATCTTAAAATGTGTAAAAAATACACATTTTTAGAACGTAGTACCAGTCAAAATATGTGTATTTTTATACTCATTAATGAGTAAAAAAAAATTCATACTTTGCTGTATCCTGCCTTGTATACGCACGTAATTTGTATATATTTCAGTGAAGTACAACAGAAATATGAAGGAACTACCACAGACAAACAGACACAACACATTGAATATTTCTCACTGTAAAACATAGTCGCTAAAACATTACCGCCATCTGTTGAGTACACTGTGGTGGGTAGTACGCTGAATTGATGGCGTTAGTGTGTAAACGTCAAACGCAAGGGAACTGACTATGCGCGCCACAGGTGGCGGTACTACCAACTACGATACTTTTAAATTGACCGTTAAATGCTTGTTCGATGAAGGAATTGCGAGTGTTATGTCTGTTTGTATGTGCAGTAAGTTTAAGTGTTTTGCTTTTCCTTCCTAAAAAAAATCCTTGAGAATAAAAATGTAAAAAACTCTTTTCTTGTATTCTCCCCAGGATGAAACCATTTCCATTTGATTTGGCAAGTTGTTGACCTACAGAAATGAAATGAACCACCCGTAAAAAAACAATAAAAATACAATGATTTTCATTGTAATTGTCGAGGGGGGCGACACATCTAAATCTCATGTTTAGATGATGATCAAATCTCACACTAGCGAATCAATCTTCGAACAATCTTCTTTCATTTGTCGCATCTCCTTGCATCGCTCATCAATTTTTTGCAGGAAATCTTCAGAATCGTCATAAATCTTCTTTCTATCTACTTAGCGTGCGCGCAGCTAGCCACAGCAAAACACAATCTTTTTTGCATCGTAGATAGAGTCGTCCCCCCCGGTAATTGTAACCATGATATTTACTGTCAAAACATTGGAAATTTTTGTCCATTACCATAAAATCACAACAATGAAAATCATGGTAATTGAGAAATTTACAGTAAAAGGGGGGTTGTTAAGCATCTTAACAACATAAAAAAGTGATTTTTCTCGTACAAATTTGATCTCATCACACTAAAGGGCCACCCACATTAGATCCGTTTGCGTTGCGTTGACGTTAATTTGACAGTTAGACAATAGATTTAGCTGTCATTTTGCAGCAACGCGTCCGATCCGGATCTAATGTGCGTGGGCCTTAATTTTCGTTGTTTGAGCATTGTATCGTTAAAAATCGAAATCTATTTTTTCTCCCGTACAATAATTTAACAATAAATTTTAATGTACTCAAAATTCAATACTAAAAATCATTGTAATTTCGTTGTTTTATTATAATTATTTTTTTTTTCGGGCATATATGTCTTTCAGCGAGTTTCGGAAATGCTACAAAATAAAATGTATTTCTTGGTCCATTTTTCCCACAGGACTGACATCAAATGTTTCCACTATGGGATTTCACAAATTAGACAGTACCCTCTTAACTGGTCTATAAATTTATGGCCCATAACAAACTTAAACAACACATACGAACTTTGCGGCTGTATTGCATATTTTACAGCTGCCGCTTACTTCGCATGTGTTTGTTTTGCGTTTGTTGTAAGTGTGTGAGTGAAAAATAAACAGAAAAATGCTGGCCTAGCAGCTCCTTGATTTTTCCCCATTGTGCACTGTGTCAACATTGTATCGAATACTATTCCTGTGCTTTCAATATACTTTGGTCAAGGAGTCGCAATTCGTGCGTCGAATGACATATGAATTGCCCATCAGAAATCTGATACTGTCACATTCGGTCGCACATTTTCTCGCCTATCTGTCGCCTTTGAAAGAAAAACAACGCAAACGTTCTATCCGTAAATCGACTATAATAATTATTATTTAATAAATTATTCATTTTCTGTATCTTGTGAAGGTTTGGCCCCAAAATGGGTAAATTGGAGTTGCTGCAGTGTTTAACCGGTCACAAAGGCCGCGTCTGGGGAGCTGGTTGGCATCCGAAGGGAAACATCCTGGCAACTTGTGGTGAAGACAAGACCATCCGCATCTGGGCCGAAGATGCAAGCCAGCGCTGGGTGGCAAAAACGGTTCTATCCGACGGTCACACCAGAACCATTCGAGACGTTGCGTGGTCTCCGTGCGGTCAGTACCTTGCGTCGGCCAGTTTCGATGCGACCGTTGCTATCTGGGACAAGAAATCAGGTGTGTAGATAAGGGATTTGTTTATTGTTTCGATAAAGCTGGGATGTTTGATGATGGTGAATCGTTACAGGTGAATTCGAGTGCAACGCAACACTGGAGGGACACGAAAATGAGGTGAAAAGTGTTTCTTGGTCCAAATCCGGCTCACTGCTAGCGACGAGCAGTCGAGACAAGTCCGTATGGGTTTGGGAGGTGGCCCAGGAGGATGAATACGAATGTGCAGCTGTTTTGAATACCCACACACAGGACGTGAAGAAAGTTGAGTGGCATCCGCATGAGGACATTCTCGCTTCCGCCAGTTATGACAACACGATCAAGTTGTACAAGGAGGATTTGGCGGATAGCGATTGGAGCAGCTTCGATACGTTGGTTTCTCACGAATCGACAGTGTGGAGTATTTCTTTTGATGCAACCGGGAAGAGATTGGCCTCGTGCAGCGATGATCAGACGGTGAAGATTTGGCAGGAGTACAAGCCGGGCAACGAGTTCGGCGTCAGCTGCCCTGACAATACACCGGTGTGGAAGTGCGTGTGCACCTTGTCCGGGTATCACAGTCGAAGCGTTTACGACATCAGCTGGTGCAAGCAGAGTGGTCTGCTGGCAACGGCTTGCGGCGACGATATGGTACGGATATTCAAAGAAGCGGAGGGTTCCTCGCCGAACGAGCCGACGTTTGAGATGGTCGCTTCGAAGCATGTCCATTCCCAGGATGTCAATACGGTCGAGTGGAATCCAACGGTAGCCGGGCTGTTGGTTACGACCAGCGACGATGGTGATGTGAAATTATGGAAATACGAACCGGAGGAGTAACGACTGGTGTCAGGAGGTAAAAGTTGATTTGTATGTAATGGGGGTCCGGTAAATAAATTAGTTGTAGGTGAAAAATTAAACTGGGCAGGAGTTAATACGTAAGAACACACCATTGAATCTCTGCAGTGATATGATTGCGTACATGAATTATTATACCAATTCAGGGAATCTGAAATCAATTCTGGGATGTCATCGTCATTCTTTTTATCAACATCATTTGACTTTTTTTTCGCTAAACAGCAGTCTGCCGTTATTCGATGAAACATGGGTGTAACCAGAAGTACGAATTCCCTTCCCTAATTTAGTAACCATGTACCTATTTAGAGCCCCAGAATTTAGATATTTTTTTTTTGTTCAAAATCTCGAAAGTTTATCAATGTTTGGTAGGGTTGATATATCAGCCATGGCTATTCGTTCATATTATGGTGTGTTCCAATTATGACATACGGGATTCCCATAGTCCATAATTGGAACTCACCATAATAGTCACGTATAGCCACAGCTGGTACACTAAAGTTTCGCTAACTGAAAGGGACTGTTTGATTATTTTAGAAATTCCAACTTACCGCATCCAAATGTTTTGACCACTGCCAAAAATTGGTTAGCTGGCAACATATTTTAGACAGTTGTCAGACCCCCTTATTCTGCGAGTCACGTGACTCTCTGTCACCGGTAGGGTGACAATTGTCACCTCGTGTGAGGTGACTCTCCATGCAAATCAAATGGAGAGTCACCTCACACGAGGTGACTATTGTCACCTCACCGGTGAGAGAGAGTCACGTGACTCGCAGAATAGGGGGGAGATAGGACAACCGACAGTTGTTATTTAGAAAAATCAAAAAGTCCCTTTCAGTTAGCGAACGTTTAGTGTACATCCACCCTAAAGAACAAAAAAAAATGTAATATCGATCAACGTAATTCAAGCTGATGTATGAAATAAAGATGTAATAGCAAAAAGCAGATACAATATTGTATCAATGGATGTAATTTTGTTCGCAAAATCGATGTACATCGTACAACGTAATATTACATAACCGGCGGAATGATCTCTGTGCAGCTGTTTGGATGTAATATTCAACAACATTTTTTTTCTGTGTACCTACATTTAAAAAATCTATAATATAATGTTAGGGTTGGTAGCAGGTCACTTTTTAGTGGTTAGGTAACTTTTTCAAATCAGGGGGAGGTAGCTCATCGATTCTTCCGGTTCGCCTCCTAGCATCGTGCTATAAGGTACCAGGCGATAACCAGGGTAGTTGATCGATAGCTCGATGACGTCATTTCGTTGGCGTCTGCAATGGGAAATTCTCATAGCAGGCGTTGACGATGGGACGTTGTCGAGTTGTTGAATAGCAACTATCGTGGTAACTCACCGATTACCTGTCGATCTGCCAAATTTGGAAAGACGTCTGCATTGAATTGTCTCATATAATAATATTCCGCCCACTATATCACAAGAAATTGCGAGTAGCTGAGTGGAATGGAGATAAGTTAAGCATTGGGTACAGGACCAAGTCTCCCCTGGGTGGTGCCAGAAGATGAGCGCAATAGAATCATCAAGTTGCCATAAGGCACGGAATGAGACTATTGCATGGCTGGGTAGTCAAAGTCTTCCATTCGTTAGTCATTTCAGGTGGATTAGAACAGGTTTAGGTTTAGGGTGGGCGTTGGCCAGATTTGGATTTTTCAGATATAATCCTAAATAGGACCTAGATTATTTAATACACTAGTAACCTCAACTTCTGTCACAATGTTTCATTGTGACTAATCAACACTCAATGGGTAAAATATCAAATTAGCGGTAAATTTGAAAAAAAAGGGAACTTGGAGTGTAGATTGCACTGCCCACTGGACGATTCTGAAGCCTGACCAAGTGAGTGGGTTACGGGTTTATTTGATTGTACGTCATTTCCAAGTTATATATAGATACATTCATACCATTGGCATTTTGTATTTGAGATAAGACAGAGACAGGATGCGGAGGGCCCGCTTAGGGGGAGCGTAACCCATGTTATGGCTTCCATTTATTAAATAGTTCAGATAGGCTGGAAATGATAGGTTCATGGTGAGAAAATGTACCATATGGTGCCCGTTCACTGATCAAAATTAGATTCAAATCGTCAGGCCCTGCCCTGGAATAAGGGAATTGACGATGATTTGTCAAGTTTCATTTTGCATTTGCATATAATTGTAAGTTTAGGTTTGCTTTTGTAATTGTAAGATAGATAGTTTGCCTCAATTGAAACATTAGGTCGTATGAATAAAAGCGTTTAATTTACTTTTCCCGTAAGAAAAGCACGGGAAAGTAAAGTAAACTCTTTTTATTCATACGGCCCATTGAGTTAAACATGACGAATCATACCTCTAAAATAGTAGTAGTTACAGTGCCGCATTATCTAACTTTTGTTTTGTTTGTTTACATATAACTAATACTAATACCTCCTTGTTTTCTCTCTAATTTGTCTACTATGTTCCACCATCACGATGAGAGATGAGCTACCGTACATGGTACACGCTCATGTACACTCCCAAAATAGTATGCCGCAAGTAAGTATATCACAGAGGCAACTAAAGATCCAGAAACAAAAACCGAAAACGCTGAACGGCAGATTGCTTTACAGTGGTCGACCAGGGTGTGTGGTGATAAATTACAAAATTACAATTACATCATTATTTCATACATCAGCTTGAATTGCGTTGATCGATATTACATTTTTTTGGCTGTGCACTACACCACCGGAGCCAGCAAAGTTCAACAATCCATCGTTGCTTATGCCTTTGTTGTCGTTTGGAACCAGAGCTGGTAAATATCACGGCCGTCATGTGAGAATGAGAAAACAGGTCCTCTCACTATCACGAGACGAAACTACCTATCATCAGTTTTCTTGTCATTTTCCAATGATCAAGCACTCATGAGAATAATTCTATTGCGGTTTTTGCATCTACATTTCTAACTGATTTAGATTAATTCAAGCAAGAAACCGTAAGTAATCGGTAGAGGTAATATATTATTACAATTTCGCGATACAAGTAACTTTAAAAGCAATAAATGAGCTAGTAATTACGATGATCACAACACTGTCACATTTTGTCATGACGAAAAATTCGATGAGATTTTGAAGAAAATCTCTATCATCGTTTTCTCAACCGATGATAGTGACAGAAGTATCTCTGTAAATATCGCGTGAGATCTTTCATTGAAAATGAAATTTGCCAGCCCTGTTTGGAACCAGTTTTGCGAGGTAGGTGACGATTGTGTGTATTTCTCGCGTAAATTTTGAAAAGGGCCTAGCCTGAACAATACGTAAAGAGCAAATTGAAACATTGTACGTCGCGTGAAAGTGGAACTTAATGAAGGCCTAAGTACTTTTTCGTAGTTTTTAGTTTTCGGATTTGAAAGATCGTCGGTTACAGTGGCCTGCTTACTGAGCAGAAAAACGCGGTCCCAGGTCCTTACATATCAAAGAGATTTATGGTAAAATCGCTTGTGTATCGTGTTTTTGCGAAACTCGTTGTTGTCGTTGGTTCCGGGTTTGAATGGATACACAAATTTGAGCAACGTTATTATGTGATATGAGGGGCTCGGTGGCCTTAGAGCAACCGTTTTTGCTTACTGAGCAGAACATCATGAGTCTATTCTCAGGCCCATCCACAATCAAGATTCGTCAATCGTTTTATTTGTTAATATGACTACATGGTAATAACAGCAACTCGGTGATCAAAAAGGTGCTCGTCTGCCTAGTGGCAAACGTTTTTGCTTACTGAGCAGAAGACCGTGGGTTTAGTCCCAAGCTCCTTCGCGTTATATGATCATTAGGACATCAATTCAGCTTATCGTTTACCAAAACGAACCCTGCTGCAAACCCAACCCTCTTATCCAACATCCCAGTGATTCCTCGTGGAAGTGCAGAGGTGTTCTCGGCTTCCATCAAAGCGAGTGTCATGTCAACACAATCCTTCCCATTCCTTTCTTGACCTGTGTTCGGGCGTGGCCGGCGCTGGTATTGCCTAATTTAAGATCACCAGTTTTTACACATTGAGGATGATTGCTAGTCCCAAGCATCGTCTATTGGTTCTCTGTGTAATTACAGCTGATCTGGCAATAACAGAGTAGCAACCGTGGGCGGTCAATCAAGCTCAAGCTCAAACTAGGTAACATTTTCAAATCAGTCACTACTAAACTCACTATTTTAGTAAAATTTAGTCACTAAACTAAACTCACTTTTTTACGATCATTGAGAGTAAAGAATTTGCCTTTAAAAACTCACATTAAAGCACAGCTTGATTTGGTAACAAGTTTATGTTAGAAAGGTTAATCTAAAAACAGTGTGTAAAGTATGACAAGCAGAGTTGCGAACGTCAACACTGTCCGATCTTGAACATTATCCAAGCCTATATGTTGTCAAAAAATGATCTAGTAAAATGTTCAGGCTTTCAACACAAATAAACCCGGTAGCATTCTTCTTCTTCTTCGCATGTCAAGCTCATTGCTTGCTCGCAACTTAGTGTTATTAGATGCACTTCCACAGTAGTTATTAAGTGAACAACACATAAAGTGACTAAAGCACAGAGAACATACATCCAAGCTTGAACAAATTTTTCGAAAAATTATGTGTAAGAATTTAAATTAAAATACGTTAGAAACACTAGCGCCGCCATTCGGAGTGTTGCGACTCGAGTTATCACCTTTTGAGATTAATGAGTTAACTGAACTAAAATTTGGGTTGATCTTATTGACCGTGTATCCAAATGAACTGTCAAATAAGTTCAAAACAAGCAAGGCAAAACAACGGAAATCCATCGAGTTTCTTCAGAACCATTATTTTCGAATAAAAAACTAAGTTCTTTTACAGTTTCCTGTAGATCTACAACAACTTTTCGTTCCAATTTTAACTGGGCATACTACACAGCAAAAAAAAATGTAATATCGATCCATGTAATTCAAGCTGATGCATGAAATAATGATGTAATAGCAAAAAGCAAATACAATATTACATCAATGGCTGTAATTTTGCTCGCAAAATCGATGTACATCGTACAACGTTATATTACACAACCGATGGA